GTATCTGGTGCAGTCGGATTGAGGTGTCTCTCCCGACACACTTCTACCTTCTCAGCGCCTCTTCTATTTTCTTTTAAAACCTACAAGCGTTTTCCGTACACCTTCTAAGGGGTTTGTCCACCATCTTCTTCAGGACACACTTACTACTCTGAAAAACCGGCTCAGTTCCCATTTATAATACAAGACCGCGTTTGCGGCTTGTAGGAGACTAGTGGAGCTATAGTGGTAGGGGTGTCACCTCGTTCCCGCTATCTCTGCTGTGGAGCTTACCAGCTCCTTCTGGGTTGTCCTCGGCCTGTTTGTTGCCTCTCCGATCAATGCTCTCCTTGCACGGTGTGAGAGTTTTGGTGGGCGGCCCTCTCTTGGCAGGTTTGTTGTCTTGGCATATTTTTTCCATTTTAAAATAATGGATTTAATGGTGCTTCGTGATGTTCAATGTTTGTGAGATTTTTTTATAACCCAACCCTGTCTCATACTTTTCCACAACTTTGTCCCTGACCTGTTTGGAGAGCTCTTTAGTCTTGATGGTGTCGTTTTCTTGGAAAAAGACGGATGGAAGACGGAGGCCTTCTACAACAGTTGTATATACAGAGATAATGAGGCACTTGATTGCACACAGGTGAACTTTATTTCAATAATTGTGTGACTCTGAAGGTCTTTGTTTGGGCTAAATAGCAAAGGGGGTGAATACATACATGTATGCACACACCACTTTTCAGTTTTACATTTTTTTGTTATGTTTTAAAACATGCTCTTTTTTCTTTCACTTCACCAATTTTGACTGACTTTGTGTGGGGTCTTGCCATAAAATCCCCCCAAAAATATTATATTATTTTTGGTTTTAATACTATCGCAAGGCACTGTATATGAGGGTAATGAGTTTGTTTTTGAAGGATTGTTCATTTAATCGTATGGCTTGGCATCATTGGAGGTTTATTTCATCATATTGGCAGTTAAAGGGGACCTATCATGCAAAATGCACTTTTATACATGAATATGTGTCCCCGGTGTGTCAGGGAAATCACCAAGTGTCAGAAAACACAACCCTCTCTCTTTTCCTATACCCAAATCTCTAAAAACGGGGCTGCAACGGATCTGATACAGACTGATACAGATTTGAATTATTTTCTACGTCACAGAAGTGGTGCTCCGTTGAGTGGTCAATTCTCCACCTATCAGGGGAATGAGAGGTTGGGCCACGGCCGGCCATTACCGCTCGAAAGCGCTGGAGACGCTGTAGTACATATGCCAGGCCTGAGGCCTGTAAGTGGCGCTGTAGTCTTCCACAAAAGCAGCGAAGAAGACTTCCCGCGCATGGTTGCCATGGTTACCCTTCTGTTTATTCTCCGCTGTGGCTCTTTTTCTCCCTCCCCGAGGCAAGCGTTTGCTCCTGAAATTCAATGCAATCCCTCCCCTTCGAGGCAAGCACTGTAATTCTCTCCGGTTAGACCACCAGCAGATGACAAACACCCACCTCTCCGCCCAGGGGCGGACTGGCCAGTGGGAATACCGGGAGTTGCCCCGGTGGGCCGGTGCTGTGTGTGGGCCGGAGGGCCAAAAAATAAAACAAAATAATTCTTTTTTTTTTTGCCTAAATCCCACCGGCCCACATTTGTAAGGTGTTTCTATTATTATGGCAATGATGAGAAACCGTGACTATTGTGGTAGGAATTCAAGATTCATATCTTTTTTTCACAGTTAATTTTTATTGCACGTTTTCTGACATAATTATTTCATTATGCAGGTCTTACTCATAAAACATAACAATGCACCAATGCACCATATGATCACAGCTGAGCACCAAAGTCAATTTCTTTTCTGAGTACAACCCAGTTAAGAAAAATCCCCACATTTGCGATGTCATTTTTATCACTTCATTGCTTCAAACATAATCACAAGACCATATTTCAAAATAAAACTTATACACCTCATTATGACAATCTTGATTATTAATCCAGATAAACCTGAAAGATTATGCTTCGCAGTTTGAAATATTTGCAATGTTTGTCTACCCAAGTCTGGATCGCGAGTCCATTTCAATACATTTATTTGGCAGTTATGTTCAGAAAACGGCCTGTCTTTTTCTCCACTGGCCTTTTCTACTGCTCTCCTTCCACCTGCTTGATGTCAAAGATCATCAAAACAGCCATGTCAGTGGACTCTCCCGATGTGGCGGCCAGTTTCAGTGGTTGGAGCCCGTTTCCACTGAAAACCTCTCCCTCCCAGACTCTGCTCTTATTCATTTTCAGATCAGTTCGCGTCTCTCCCATCACGCTCACCCCCTGGGCCCCGGGGACCCTCACTCTGAAGCGGACCCACGCGACGGGCTCCAGTAGGCCCACGCGAGGCTCAAAGAGCACGCAGCCTTTTCTCCAGGCGGAGTAGACGCAGGGGAACGGAGGCCCCGGCTGAACACAGCTGTTCCTCAGAACAAAGTCACACATGGGGCTGAAATCTCCACCAGGGGTGATCTTAGCATACAGGGCCAACCGATACACCCCCGCATCAGGCAGACTGGCGCTCACCGTCACCTTGCTGTCTGTGAACGTGCAGAAGACGTGCCGTGAAAGTGGGTTGGCTGCTGTTTGGTTCTCCTCCCTGCTGAGCACCGTGTGAAGCTCGAGGTCCCGCTGGTTGTGGAAGGTGATGTTACATTTGCCCTGCTGGGTACTCACCAGCGCCGTTGTGTGGCTGAATTTGGACAGCCCCGCCTCTATTGTGCGGGACCCCGGGCCGCATACCGAGCCCAGGTTAGGAGGGTAGAGCTCATCCCGACTCACCACCTTCCCTTTGCAGTGCAACAGGAAGTTTGCAGCATTCTGAAACTTGACCTCTGTTTTCTCATAGTCTCGCACAAACACTGAAAGTCGGTAGAAGCCACGTAACGGGCACATGACGTGACAGGTCAGGACATCCGGTTGTATCTGAGTTGCCACGCAGCGCTTAGCTACAGCAGCTTCCAGCGCCGGGTGGACCAGCTCACACAGCAACATCAGAGGCCTGGAACTCTTTAATGTCAAAACAAAGACACCTTCCTCCACCTCAGCCGCCTTGCTGTCCTGGCTGCTGCCTGCAACGCCCAGAGATCCTGCAACCGGCTGCAGGCCCCAAGACAGGAAGGGGTTCTCTGGGATCTCCTCCATGGCCCTGGGGACCGGACAATCCACTGTGAAGGAGCAAACCCAAACCAGATGCGTGGTGGCTGTTTCAGGTCGGGCAAACACCTTCACGTCATACACGCCGGTTGCAGGCGGCAGGAGCTTCAGCTTCATGCTCCGATGGGAAACCGTTAGAAGGCCATAGGAGGAGTTGCTGGACTCTTTCTGCTCCGAAACTTCACAATGGAGAAAGTCCTGGTGCTGTGTCATCTCATAGGTAAAGGTCGTTGGCCTAGAGAAGCCTATTGACACGTTTGCTTCGCCATCATCTAAGAAGGAAATCAGAGATTACATTTAGGACCATTTCTCTTTAATTGGAACTGGTAGGTATTGGTTGGTCAAATTAAAATGTCACCGCCTCAGTTCCTTTCAAAGAAGCAAAGACTTGCACATTATTGGAAAAAAGCTAATACTATGCATTGAATATAACTTGGTGCAAACAATTGTTTAAAAATAGGAGGATTAATAAAATGCATCCCAGAGAAATCCCCAACTGACCGGTGACGATGTGAGAGTGATGAGGCTGGATCAGCCTGAGCCCCGTGGTGAAGAAAGCTGAGGTCTTGAAGACCCTCCTCCCAAACTCCTCCAGGGGGATGGGCGTGTCCAGGAGCTGCCATCGCTGCTCATCGGGGAAATGCGACTCTATGAACTCCTCGGGGTCCGTTAGGAAATAGAAATCATCAAACCTTGGAGGCAACAGATGGAGACAGCAGACTGGTTTGAGACTCAACTCGCTGCTGGTTTTGAGTGATTAAAAACAAACAAAAGAGCAAACTCCAGAAAGAAAATGATGCTAATTGCTCAAATGTGGCTTTTAAATTCCAGTTTAGGTCCCTCGTCCATTTTCAAACCTTTTAACGAAGCTTTCATGTTCCATGTCTACTCTTCCTGCTCCCCAACAGGCGTCCAATAGGAACCACTGTCCGTCCAGAAGCACAGAGTTCCACTGGTGATCAGATTTCACATTCTCCAGGCTCTGGCCCTGAAGGTACCCGATGCCCTTACTGTGGCCCGGGACTTCTTGGCACTCAATGCCAACCTCTCTGTAAACACAACCCAAACAGAGCCTTTAGATTTAGATCCTGTGTCCTTAAACCCAAGTTCAACACTGTTATACATGCTGTGTGCTCATTATTTATCTTAAACTCGGAAAGGACCAAGGATTAAGAATACAGCACAATACTAAGTGACTGGCAGAATGAGCCCTACAAAATAAATGAAAACTCAAACAAAAATCAATACAGAAGTGTGTTGTTCCTTATATTGTTCATTGAATTTCTCTGGATAATAATTTAGTCATAACCGCCCTTCAGCAATTGTAGAATGATTTTTTTTTTCAGACAGCCATGTAAAAAATAAGACATGAGTCACTAGTCTTTACAGATGATCCATTGTTGTGCCTTTATCTGTGGGTATAGTCTAAGACCTTGAGGCTGTCTTCAGTGTTTATGTAAAGGTCTAAGTGTGGCTGTGTTTACCTGCACATCTCTGAGCAGAGGCTGGAGTATCCGCAGCACACCCCCCGCCCGGCCGCTATCACCTCCTCCGGGGAGCTCAGTTTCTCCGAGCGCCCAAGGTACCCACTCACATCATACTCTAAAAGACAACAATATTTTACTCCAAAATAACGGGGTAATGTAACACCAACTTTTTTTTTTACTATTTGTATTTTTGTATTTACTAATTACTAGTTTTTCAGTTTTATTGTGCTGCACTGTTGGAGGAGCCTGTGACCTAATATTTTCATCGTCATAACTACACTGTAGCTATGTTCGTATGACCAACAAATGCCTTGAACCTTGAACCAACCCTAGGACTCTGATGATAACTATGTGTGTTGGACTACACCAAGAAATGATTGCGGTCGTCAACCAATCAGGGATACTTTATTGGGTGAATGTTACTTGTATATGTACAGTAAGCGCTTACAGGGGTTTTAAACACTGGAAAAGCCCTATGTACTGTAAATGCAGTCCATTAACTAATTGCCCCATGTTCTTTTAAGACCATTTAATCCCACTGATTTAACGATATTGTGATAACACAACCTTTCAAAGAACAATGCACTTCTATTTTTAAGAATATTTAGACATTGGAATTGGAATGTGAAAAATATGAAATACCTCAATAAATTAATTGCTTTAGTAAATAAGATGTGCAATTTATGTTCAATTCCCAAGTTGTATAATAGTCAGGAAAGACTGGCTGGTAACTCTGGTATCACGTTGGCCTAAATGTGTGTGACATTCGTGTGGAAACAAAGACAAAAGGTTATAACGAGGTCAGCAAACCTGATCAATTTAATGTTCATGTATCATAATCCCTCTCTCCAATATTGATGGATTAAATACCATAAATGTCACAATGTGGTGTATTACACAACACTAGGATTTATATGCAATTATGTATAGTTCAGTGAAATACCCACCGATGTTGTGGCACAGCCAGACCCAGATGGCACGAAGCCGCTCCAACTCATTCCTGGCTCCTTGTGTGATGCTCCGCACTATCGTCTTCACATCATACACACAATTCTCCTTCAGCTGCAACGCACACAACACATATCTACTGTTAGATACAATAGTATTAGAAAGGTTATCATTCATCTAAAGATTGAGTCTTTATGTTTTCAAACTTTTATGTGAACCAATGCAACATTAAGTTGTTTTTCTCGTCATCATCCTATTTTCCAGCATTGTTCAGTGTCATTGAGGGTATCGAACAATGCAGGGCTACTCATCCAGGCTCAAGGATGTAAGTGCTGCCTGAGAGCTGCACTGTTTGTTATGGTTTCATTGCAGCAGATGATTAGATGTGATCATTTCTCAGTGCTTTTCCTTCAGTGCTCAGGAACCAAAAGACCCATCTCTGTTGTGGATTTGCTTTGGAGTACTTAATTAGCTTCGGTTCAGTGCTGCAAATGTTCTCTTATTTAAAAGTATAGTTTACCCACACATCAAGAATACATATTTTTCTCTTACAACTAGTGCTATTTTTTATCTAGATTTGTTTTGGTGTGAGTTGCATAGTATTAAAAATATTAGCAGTAGAGATGTCTGTGTTTCCTTATAAATATAGAGGAACCACATTCAACTTTTGGTGTTCAAAGAAATACAAAAATAACAAAAACTCACACTCAACTTACAGAAATGACTTGGTTACTGAAGATAATACACCGTCCTTGTTGTGAGCAGTTCTCTCTCCTTTCTACTTTGGTAGAAAGAAAAATAATGCCTCCATACAAGTCCTCACAAAAGGTACCTTGAGAAATCAGGTCATAATTTCTGAAAATAAACATCGATGTTTTTTCAGATTTTTTTTTAGTAGAAAGCCTTTTATTTAGCATAATAAATAGCACTAAAGCTCAGAGGATAAGAATGTGTTTTGGAGTTCTGGGGTTAACTGTAGCTTTAAGTATGGATAAGTGAGAGGAACTAACTTCAATGCTGTGTGTAACTTAACAGGATGAGGTTAAATATTCAGTTTGTACTGAAAAGGAATGAATGGCAAGTTGAATTTCTCCTTTCCATGTTATAAACACCAAGATGTTCTGTGTGAGTATCATCACCTCTACTCCTGCTCTGATGACATGTGAGTTGACCCTGTTGAAGACCTCCGAGTTGGTGAAGAGGTCCTTTCTACGCCTCCTCTTCCCCCCCGTCACAGTGCACGGTGTCGCCCTCTGTCCCGGGTGTGCTTTAGTTTTCAGGTGCCTGTGTTCCTCCACCTCAGTCCTCACCGCACTCTTCTTCACCACGGTGATGGTCCTGGCTGCACTCTCTGAGGACAGCTGCCTCTTTGCAGCAGGACGCTGATCTTCACTCTCAACCGTGAGTTTCTCAAAAACACTATGCCTGGAGAACACAGCACTCTTGGAAGCTTTAGCACAGACCAGGACCTGGGCAGGTGCCGTGTCTCCAACAGGAGGAGACTTTGGACTCTCCTTAGCCTGGTTCTCATTATGCACCAGAGCTCCTATAACGGCAACAGAGCCTACTTTGCTTAGGATTCGATTCGCCTGGAGGTCAGGAAGCTCCAGGACCTTCACCTGTACACATCCCTTCTGCGTCAACTCATCTTGCTGAGAAAGGCGTGCAGCACAGGAGAAAGGGAGGGAGAACTTCTGGATTGCAACTTTAGCTGACATTATGCTGGAAGCATGGCGTCCTTATCAAAGAGAAGGTGGATACAAATTAAAAGACAGTAGTTATTCTCTTTTTGAGATATTTTTAGTTAATGTTTCTAATCCTGTGAGCATGTCGGGTTTCAGCCCCTTGATCAATATCTTACAAAAGAAACATGGTAGCTGTGGGCAAAATCCATAAAACACGATCACACATTCTGTACTGAGTGAAGCAGAAAGTATATCTATACAGTACATTCTATGTTCGACAGTGATGAATTGGCAATTAAATCATGTCTATTCATGACCAGAAATAAACGCAAAGGTTGGATTCATTTATCACTGTCACAGCTAACGACGCAAAGAAAGTCAAACACCAGATTAATATGACCTTATAACTTCCTGTATGTGATGAACCTGCAGATTGATGTCCATACTGAACATGTCTGAAAAACGAGCGACATGTGTGACCAAATTGCTCAACATATTTTGACTGAACCTTGCTGATCTGTGGAAAAATGGTCAATTATTATGAACCGCAGGTTGGCACAGTGGAGACGTCAACCGTCCAGACCGATGACTCAAACGGTTGGCAAGATCTGCCCAGCTTAAGTGTCCTTCAGCCTGCAACTCAGTGCTATCAGAGCTGCGGCTGACCTTTGACCTTCCTGGAGTGTGACCAAAGTGAAGAATTGGGAGGGATGAAACCCTCTTTAATGGTCACACATGCAGAGCACACCGCACACACAGTGACATTTGTTCTCTGCATACAACCCATCCTAGTACCAGGAATCTAGTACTAGGAGCAAAAACATTAATTATCTTGTTTTTTGGACTGATTTCGCTACAAATACTTCATTCGAATAAATCCAAAATCTAGATTTATTTCAGATTTACACTCTCAAAAGTGAAAGCGGTTGAACCCGGTCTAGATTTAACTGTCGCTACACCTCAAAAAGGCTTTTACTTACCCTGAGAGGATCTAAAATGCCTGCTGGATGTTTGCTGAGTGTCGGGAGAGATGTTTCCACTGTGTGTTCTCAGTGGTCCCCAGTATCAGGGGAGGCTTATATACCCTCGCAGTGGCCTGCCAGGACAGGCCCCAGAATAACAGGCCTAAAAATACTACAAAGCAGTTAAGACCAGCCAATAGAGTAAGCCCCAACTGAGGAGTGTGACGTCTGTGAGTGTGTATTTGTAAGTGTGTGGTGTGTTGTACATACATTAGGATATTCATTGTACACACATCACATTATATCTAATCACACAAGCAAGTGCGACATTTTGAATGTGTTTGTGCAAGGTTTTGAATGTCAGCATGTGTACATATGGATTGTAAGTGTGTGTGTTGATGAGCGGTTGGGAAGCTCAGTTTGTGGGCATGTGTTGGGTGTGATGGAGAGGTCAAATTCAGCGAAGAGTGGCCCGTTCAAAGAATCGGTTATGAAGGGTCTTCCTGGCATCTGAAAACACCCGCCTCAACATGAAATGGAAACTCAGCCGCCCATGTTTCTGTCACACACCATTTACTTCATACCATTATGACGATATTCATAGTTTTTGTTACTTACTGCCATTTCTAAACACTAGGCCACTAGGGTTTTACAACCCAACAATAAGAAACAGCTAAAACGTTTAAATAAAGATTGAAATGCAATCTCGGGTAAATTGATCAATTTACACATGTAGTAGAAGCTCTGCAGGAACACACAGTCCTTCAATCTACTTCAATCAAAGAAAATACCAAAAATATAATATTCTATCTTTATCATAGGTGTTGCTTTCATTCATAAATACTGCAGAAAGTAAAAAAGTCCTTGAACCCAGCTTCTGTCAAGTTGAACCAGCAAAGAAATTGAGAAAAGGAGGGGAAGTTGTTGGGTGATTGCCCCAAAGATACAGTGTTACATAACACCACCATATGTTGGTGTTGATGTTGACGCATGGGCACGGTGGAGGGACAGCCACCTCCGCTGGTGGTGGATCCTGAGCAAGCTGACTGTGAGACCACAGAGTAATAATGCCATCTGGAACAGCTGTCTGCCAAGGAATCTCGCTCAGGCTTATTAGGGAAAGCAGAGGAGCAGGGGGGGGGGGGGTTCACTCCAATTCAGAGGGACATAACACTGAGGGGAGATGAGAAGCACTGATATGCCAGTGAAATGGAAAGGAAATCACTGCAGGCTGAAAAGGAGGAATGTTAATGTGCTTTCAGGCAATAGTGAATTTCTTGCAGTGAGAAAATATGGATTTCAGTCCCTTTTGGGGTTTGTGAGCTTGAGCGGGTTTCTGCTACAAAGTCAGCAAATCTGTATTCTATTTACCCATCAGACAAATATGGATTCACTGTCAATGTGATTTCTTTATTTTAGAGCATTTATATTATTTAAAAATGGTGTGTTTTTACTGCAGTGGTCACCAAATACACATCCAAAACATTGTTCCTGAGAGTGGGCAGCACTATAATAACTTACAAATTGTTTACAGTGTGTACTAAGTACTGTAATTGAACAGATACAATTTCACTCAATCTGAATTTTTTTCTAGAATTGGTCTTCAATACCCAAGGCCGGATTAGTACCTCCATGCCCCCCCACCCACGTATCAACAAGCAACACCACGTCTACCCAATCCTACCAACATGACCAATATTTAGAATTTTCTGTCAATCTGGCATGTGAAATCGCACACCTAATTGTCAAAAGCAGGGACGCAGCCACATTGTTCAACCAAAGTAGGTCTAGCCTTTTGCCCTTTCAGTCAAAAATCACAAGACAAAGATAAAATGGATAAGATCTCATGACAGTGTATGTCTCAAGAAGACCTAGGTAATATCAATCAAAACCTCAGAACAGCACCCCACTAAATGCCAAAATATGACTGGCTGGCTGTACAAGTACACGAGGAGTTCGATTTGTCACAAACATCGAGAGTTACAAAAGTAAAAATATGTAGTGAAATTGTGTGGTTGCTCAAGGGTGGGGCTGTGATTCGGCTATACACCGCCGCCGCGTAGTAATAAAGTTGAGCGCATACATAGTGAGACCTACGGTACAGAGACCTACAGTAATTTGACCCTATGGAAAAGCTGTGTTATTTTCTGGCGAAGAGTGAATGTCATTTAAAACAATGTATGATGAGTGAGGGCCCTCTTTGCTCAAGGGACCCTGGGCACTTGCCCAGGTTGCCCATATGGTTAATCCGGCCATACCCCTCTCTTACCTGAAATGTCTCCACTGCGCAAAATCCATCTGCAGAGGAAGATTTTATTCAGATGCTGGTTCCTACAGTGAGAACAAAACTGGGTAAAACAGCTTTTAAATAGGCTGCCCCCACAGCTTGGAACAATGTACAGAAGGAGCTGAAACTCTCAGATTGAATCACTATGGGGGAATTCAGGTTCATCTTAAAGGACAGAGAACACAACACCATTGGTCGATGTGAGTGCTCGTATATCCAAAAATCGTTTTAAATGTTGCCAGTTTTTAATGATTTTTAGTTGTTTGTTTTATTTTGCATATTGACTGGCTAATGTGCCATTTTATTTGTGTTTTCACAGCTGTATTTGTCTGCCTGTCTTGTCTGTGTTTTATCTGTTGTAACTTCGTTCATGCTGCCCTTCTTGGCCAGGTCACTCTCGGAAAAGAGATTTTAATCTCAATGAGTCTTTTACCTGGTTAAATATAGGATATAAGATGCTGATTAAATCATATAAAAGCAAGTAAGTGGATCTTGAGTTATAGGCTTTTTTTTTTAGAATGCACGTTCCCACTGATCCTATCTATTTAGATTTATGCTTATTTATTTTGCAATCTAGACTGTACACAAGACATTCAAAGCCATTCAAAATGTTTCGGCAAATGTCATTAAAGAGCAATAGAGGAAATGAATCGAAGGCATGAGGACAAATAAGATCAAAAACGTTTAAAAAATGTGGGTTTATCGTGAGGTGTGTGCAGTATAGCTTTATCCACCTTTACCAAGTTTGCCTTTCTGACTTGAGGCAAAACAACCTGTTTCCTTGAGATCTAAGGGACCAACCGGGTTTCTATTCTTCAATCATAAACACAAACATATTTTGGCCTTCGGCTGTTGTGTAAAGTAGCAGAAGCGCTTTAAAATGATTATATAACTAACTTGGAGCTGGTGTAATGTTCTCGTCGTTCTTGGTTCTCTGTATTGTAGCAGCAGAAGTCAAAACGTGTTGCAGTTGTCTTTTTGAGAAGATCAAGAATAAGAGCGCGTTGCACACTGCTGGAGATGAAGGCATGCATTCGTTTATTTAAATCTCACGTGTACACAAGACCTTTGATTCTTATTGCTATATTTTTAGTTGATAAAAAGCAGATTTAGTCATGACTGTGGCAGTGCTGTGTTGATGCAGCAGAGGTTCAGTCTGAGTCCAATAAAGAGATTACCAAAGTAGACTTGTGATACAATTTGAAAAAGTTGCAGAGTGTGAAATCAGTGCGATGATCAAAGGGTTTACTCCCACCTACAGATACAAATACATTTTTTATCAGATAAAGTCCCTGGGATACAACCTTTGTAGAAGTGTGTTTTTTCATAAAGGTGTTCTGTATAAAGCACATCTAACTTGGGGTGCTTTGCATTAAAAAATGAAAGCACCCATGAGAGTATTCAAACTTTCAACAGCTGGTGCATGCAGCTTAAAAACATCCCAATTTGGACAGCTGGCCTCTGTAATAATGGATGGGTAATACATTTAAATTGTAATACTTTGTTTTCAAACAATCACAAATGGTAAACATACCTTTTAGGTTGTATAATAGTTCATCAATCGCTAAGTCAAATAACATCTTATTAAAAATAATTGAAATGCTGAGTTAGGCATAATGTGCCAGTTGCTTATTTAAACGTTTAACATAAATTACAGGTACAGTATATCCGTAATTTAACACTTTGAATTGTAGATGAAACTGTGTATAAGAAGTTGTAAAGTGGTACAAACTACCGACCTACCTACTTACCTTGTTGTATAGGCTAAATAAGGATTTGTTTTTACCATTTAAAAGAAAAACTCATAGCATACAGTTTACTTTTACCTGTACTGCTGCTATGCAAAGCAGCTGGAGGCAGGTGTCACTTCTAATAGCTGGTAATCCACCATTACACTAATATCTACGCATCCTCTCAGCTGCTCTAACATTGGACAGTTTGGGACAAGTTTGGACAAATCAGAGGTCTCGTGCATGCTGCGCGCTGTGGGCGTGGTCGCTGGTTCAGGCACTCTGCAGGCACGTGCTGTCAGCAACACCTAATGACCGTCGTTCATTACCTTTTCAGACTACCGTGACTTTTTTTAAATGTAACCAACGGACACAACTTACTCCTCCGTTTTTACTAATTTCCTGTGAGAATTAAGGAAAAGCTCGTGAGAGAAGACGTTATCAGGAGACCAAGGACGTTATGCAAACTGGTAAAGACGATGGAGAGGTGACGGCTGTGTCAGTAAATCGATTTACTTCAGGTAGGATGCTTTTCAGTGTTTTAACTTCTTGCTAGGGTGGTTTCACAAGGGTAAACTGTAATGGTTTTGTTGTGAGAACTGTATTTATTTCCATTTCAGTTCAGTCTCATAATTATTTATTTGTGTAAACTAGGGTACTAGATGTCTACTTTTCAATGCAAAATGGCATGCAAGTTAGCTAGCTTGCTACAGAGTTGGTCAAACTTCATTTTGTGTGTTTGTATCTGTGTGTTTGTGTGTGTAGTCAGTGCTGGAAGAAGTATTCAGATTATTTAGTACAACTACTGTACTAGTACCAACATGTAGAAATACTCTGTTACAAGTAAAAGTCCTGCATTGGAAATGTTACTTAGTGTACCTAAAAAGTAAGTAGGCCTAGTTCATATAATCAGCTAAATGTACTTAACATAATAATATAAAAGTACCCAATGCTAAAAAAAGAAGGAAAAAAAAGACACACCCAAAAAACTTGATGATTATAATTAAACACTATATATATTATTGCTTATTAGTTTTATTTGGCTAGTGATTATGCAGCTGACCGGGTCT